CATTCACCTCCAAATGACCAATAAGATCGCACAGGTTGGGCCTCCTCCGGGTGCCGTCGACCGGACAATGCCAGCTGGCGGCTACCCGCAGAGATCCGGACCCTTACCACACTCCCGGCCTTCCGTAAAGCGACCAAGACCTGGCTGTTCCAGCAGGCCTGGGGCTGTTGATTAATATCCAGCCCCACTTGATTGAATGGATGATGTATTAATTTTTTAATAATTGTATTTTTAAAGTTTTAAAATGTTTTTATTTTTGCTGTGAACCGCCCAGAGTCCCAAGGGAGTGGGCAGCATACAAATCTTACTAAAGTAAAGTAAAGTAAAGTGACTACGGCTATGATTTCTCAGATCTTAGACCTTTTCCAAGAGGGGCTCGACTAAGGCCTGCCCCCTAACACTCTGAGACAACAGGTGGCAGCCTTGTCTACGATCTTGACAGTAGACAGGCATTCTCCCCTCAGTCGTCATCCCATCATCCGTAGTTTTCTACGGGGTGCAACCAACCTGAAATCTCCGGTCACCACAATTCTACCAGAAGCGCCGCCACCACTGCGGCCTGGGCTAACCAGCACCAATAGAGGAGATTTGCAAGGCTGCCACATGAACTTCTTTGTCTCCCTTTGTTCGAGACTACAGTCTGGACAAATTTGCTTCTGTGGAGGGGGCATTTAGGAGGCGAGTTCTCCAGGGCATTCGTACCAGCGGAGAGAGACCCTGGATGCTTCCGCTTCCCGCCCTAGTGACATTTAGCTTGGGTATGTCCCATGCTTGGACTCTCCAGAGCAGCACCCAGGAAAATGACCATTGGTTTACCCTAAGGGTCCTTTTCTGGGTGCTGCAAAGGAGAGTCCAACCCCGTCCTGGGGTTTGCTCTGCCATTTGTCATATGATTTCTTCTGGACTTGTGGATATTTTTTTACGTCCTTCATTGACTTGGTTCCTGAACCTCTCAGTGCGCATTGTCCACGCCTTCATTGAAAGAAATCTGAGGATTAGTCAGCACCAGAGGCGTGGCTTAAAGTTTCAATTCAGTCCTGGGCAGATTGGCTGTATTTAACCCGTGCTTGGACTCTCCTTTGCAGCATCCAGAAAAGGACCCTTCAAGTAAGCCAATGGTCATTCACATAATTATTTACAGCACCTAGCTAAAGCTCTCCTACATTTGAGAGCAATTTGTCTCATTTATTTTTCAAAGAAATCTGAAATTTGATTTAGGTTTTTCTAGTTAACAGGATGATTGGAAGAAATAAGCATAATACTGGTCCTGTGTTTTATCACACAGTATCTTTGTATTTTGATTATATTTATTTATTTTATTCATTAAACAAGTTTATATGACAACTCACATATAAACTATGTAAAATATAGAAAAGTTACATGTTAAACAGAAAACTTGTATTCAAAGAATATTTAAACTGAGCCTATGGTTTTATGTTTTTGTTTTTTTCTTAGAGCTGCTCTGCTCTTCTAAGAGCATTAGAAATGTATGACACACACCAACATTCTAGTTTGTTTGTATAGCATGGCTTTTAGGGTCAAATCTATAGCATTGTGACAGTATCTTTCCAATGTTTGAAGAAAAAAGACTTGCCAACATCCTTCAATGATGAGATTATTTACTTTGGTTATATTCCTTTTTTCAGAGGTTGGAAATTTCAAATGGCTTCACAAGTTGCAATGCAAAACTCTGGATCTTATTCAATTTCACAGTTTCAGTGCAGAATGATAAGGTAAAAAAAGATCTGATTTTTTATTATTTCATTTATTGACACCTTCAATTTTGTGTATGATTTAGGTCAAGTTCCATTGAAAACTAATAAAATATATAATTCTATTCATTTTTTGTCCAATCAACTGGATTTTTGGAAACTTATTCTGATTTTATTTTTGTTAATGTGTGATTACAATTGTGGCAGCCATGTATTAATAAATATTTCAATTTTTTTGAAATGTTCTCTATTTTGTTTGATTTTGTAATTAATATCTAGACTCAAGAGTTTGGCTTTCAAGTCACGTCAGATGAAACTGGTTTTTATATGCACTTCTAATGCAATGGCCAGCTGCATGCCAGCCATAACTAGCTTAGGCGAATCATCTCTGTTTCATATAGAGAAATGTACAAACAGTTTAGGCATGAAGGATATCTTTTTTTTTTTTACTAAAACCTGGAGATTCACCAAGTAAAGGCAGACCCAAAATTATACGGGAATGAAACGAAATACAAAATGTCCATTCAGAAGACAAAATCAATTACCTTTCTACATTGTAAGTTAAACACATACTGTATTATGTTGAATTTTGTTGATATTATGTGAACTCATAAATGAAAAGGTTTGATAGGGGTGTGTGTGTGTGAACACAATTACATCAAAGCAATGACTCCTATGTTCTAAGTTGGTTCTTACTACATACGCATTTTAATTTTTGAACATTTAAAAAGCAATCATGTACGAGTCATAGCATAATGATTTTGATTGTATCTGGATGTGATATTTGTCCTAAAGTCTGGTTTCAGCAGCTTTTCCTTGATGCTAATTCTGAAATCTATTTATTGTTCTAGAAATCACAATTAATTTCAGATTTGTTTCTGATTTGTGTTAGTTCTAACATGGTAAATGATATTGCAGAGTTGTTGCAAACTATTCAGAGTTGGATCTGACGTATTTAATGTGAAGGATGTAAGGTTAGGATTTGATTTAGATTTTCAGCAGATGAATTTATAGATCTGTCAACTCTATTACAGTCTCCTCTTTTTCCTCAAATTCATCTACTGAGGTAAATTTATTAGATCTACATCAATCTATTTTTATCTAGTCATATATTTTATTTAAGAAAAAAATGCTGCAACCTGTTAAAATCCGACTATTAGTACAATGTAATCTATAAAATAAAATGAGTTAACTATTGTCAAACTGAAAATGTTACCCTTTAAGGGATTCTAATTTCATTTGCCTTTTAATCCAGCGTTATTCTAGTGTCCTCTCCTAAGTAAGAATAAATAAAATTGCAGTCTTATCATTAATGCTTAATAAGGAAAGAACACCAGCTTTGAAAAAAATGCATTTTCTATCAGATTTCCCACAGATCAGCAGAAGTCTTTAAAATTAACTTTCATTTATCAATTTCTGAATGCAGTAATAGATATTACTTTCCCCTGTTTAATTTTTTTTTAATTTTTTAAATATAGGTGGGCCAAACTACGGATTAACATGCTTCCAGCTACAATAATCTGTGAGCCAATCTCAGAATGCTTTGTTGCAAGTTTGATTATTGGATGGGCAGTTCATCATATGTTCAGATGGGACATAATGGTGTTTTTTATGTGTCATTGTTTGGCATGGTTTATATTTGACTACATTCAACTCAGGGCTGTCCAGGTAGGTTATACTGAATGGAGACTCATATATAATAGAATTTCTTTTGTAAATTAATTACCACACTTTTTTGCATGAATATTTTAAAAGTAATATAACATTTTAAGTGTATCTGTAAATTCAGAATGAAGACTATGCAAAATGCAAATACTAATGTATTTTTGTGTCGTGAATAGCAGAGTTTCATGCAATAGAACATTTTAAAACATTTAACCATTTGATTGATATGAAGGATTGAGGTTCACAAATATTCTCAAACACATCTACTAACATTTTTGAATTAAATGAGCCAGAAATTTGAGTTAGCAATCTGCCCTATATACAAATTGGATAATTTCTGATATTTAGAGTAATAATTAGCATCTAATGTGAGGGGTATTTGGACTGTAATCAATGGGGATATTATCTGAGTGGAAAGATCTTCTGTTGAAGACACCTAAGTTTTTGCTTAATTCCTTTTCTTTCTTATGTTGTCTGTTTCCCTTCCCCCTTCACAAAATCTGGAGAGTTAAAAATCTCTGGAACAGAGAAGGAATGTCATAAAAGCTGATACTAGGGCTTAGGTGTCTGAAATCTGGGTGGGGAATTTAAGCAAATAATGCCACAATGATTAATTATGCATGTATAGGTAGTCCTTAACTTAAAACTGTTCATTTAGTGACTTCAAAATTATAACAGCACTGAAAAAAAGTGACTTATGACCATTTTTCACACTTACAACCGTTGCAGCATCCCTATGGTCACATGTTTTACATTTGGATGCTTGACAACTGAATTATATTTATGATTGTTGCAATCTCCGGGGCTCATGTGATCCCCTTTTGCGACCTTCCATCAAGCAAAGTGAATGGGGAAACCAGATTCAATTAACAACCCTATTCCTAATTTAAGAACTGCAATGATTTACTTAACAAAATGTGGTGAGAAAAGTCGTAAATTGGGAAAAAACTCACTTTTTTATCACTTTATAACATGAATTTTGGGCTCAATTGTGGTCATAAGTTGAGGACTACCTCAACTTATCTATTGATAACATCCTAGAAACAGGACTGTGTAGGGTTCCTTCAGTATGTCCCTCTGAGTCCATAACATGAAGCTGGTATAGTAGAATTGTCTTCTGGTGATTCATTTATGTACCCAGAAGACTTTGGGGAAGGAGTGTGCTTTTTGGCTGCAGTTACAGGTAGTCTTCGACTTACAACCATTAGTTTATGACTATTCAGTGGTACTACAAAAAGTGACTTACAACTGGTTCTCACACTTAACAGTCACAAACCACCACCACCACTCCAGTCACATGATTAAAACTCAGACACTTAGCAACCAGCATAATCATCATTTGCAATCATTGGAGCTGATTTCTGAGAAGCAAAGTCAAAAGAAGAAGCCATATTCTCTTAAGAAATGCAATGATTTGCTTAACAACCATGGCAAAAAGGTAGTAGAATCAGGCATGACTCATTTAACAACTGCCTTGCTTAGCAATGGAAATTCTGGTCCCAGTTGTGGTCATGAGTCAAGAACTACCTGTATTTGGCCCCTCTGTACCACAAATCTAGAGCAGTTCTTGTGAAAGCACCATGTTGAATGATCTATGCAATGTTTTCAGGATACTAATTAGTCTATGTAAAACTAAAACTGTTGTCATGCATACTTTTATTAAAGATTCTAATAGAGCCTTTAGTTCCTAATTGACTTGATTTAGAATAATTGTTTCTTAAAAATATGAGCTATGGATTTGCCTGGAGTATTAGAAATAATAGTTAAAATGTAACGCCTAAGCTACTTATTTTTTTCTGCCTCTTATAGTAATCTTTTTTAATTTAAGTTTATTAAGTAAATATTTAATTTGGTTGGTGAAATTGTTACTGATTATGAACTTCTGTTCATATAATCCCCCAGGGCAGTGCTCTGTGTTTTTCAAAACTTGACTATGCAGTAGCATGGTTCATCAGAGAATCCATGACGATATACATTTTCCTCTCAGCTTTGTGGGATCCTACTATTAGCTGGAGGACAGGACGCTACAGATTACGCTGTGGAGGCACTGCAGAAGAGATCCTTGATGTATAGCCACAGCTTTGTGACTGTGTATTTCAAGAAAAAAGAAAAAAGAAAGTATTACAAATTATGTTTATATATATGCTTTTAAAAGATCTACCTTCAATAGTTTTATTACCTGTATGTTTTCATATCTGTTCTCTAATTTATTTTGCATGGCACTTGCATCTGTGAAAAAAAATACATCTATAGTCTTGGCCAAATGGTACCTTGTTTTTATGTACAAAATCAAATCAAGAGGATTGGTTCCAGGATTCATTTTTCTTAGGAATGTTCTGCAGCAAGTTCTACAAACAGCATCTTTCAGTATAGCAAAAGCTACTCTCTATTAATCAAAGGACATAATTCACTGGGAATAAATTCTGCATAGATCCACTGAAAAATCTATGGGCTGTATACCAAGCACAGCTATGCGTTTGTCCCAAATGGTCTTCTGGTCATTGGACTGCATCCACTAAAAGGCTAACAATATAAATACAAGAGCGGATAGCTTTGGAAAGCACAAGTGGTGGGGCACAAGGAGAGAAGCTTTTTAGATGATCTATGCCTACCTCTTGCAGTTGCTGCAGAGCAAATATGAATAGATAACTTGGCTTTAGGAATAGCAAAATGTGTATCTCTGTCTGGGTATATACAAGACATGGGAACGTGGGAAGAATTAGTGCTTCGATGGGGGGCATCTTTTGGCCAACTCTAACTGGTTCTGTCTGAACCATTTTAATCACTGTGCTGTAATTAGCCTAGCTAATCTTCTCCATTCCCATTCTGACTTTTTTAAAGGGATAGTTATGGGGAGAGGGGAAGCATTTCAGAAACATTTCACATGTGACCTATTTTCTTACTGTCTTCTTAAGAATGTAACTTCATGAAGCAGGTATTTATTATCTTTTTTTAAAGTGGGCATCTTTCTGTCTACACTAGTCATCCTTAAGTATCAAATTGCAATAGATGTCAGTATATTAAAAGGCAAAGTGAATTTGCTGTTACTGATTTGAACTTGTAAGCTTTAATTATCAACTGGATCTTCTTTTGGAATTTTTCCTTCAATTAATCTGGTCTTTCAATTGGGTTTTTGTATGCAAGCTGTAATTGCTAAAAGAAAAAAGACTAGATAATAACCAATTTGTAAATGCATGCTGTTTCTCTCTCCTCACCCCCCATCCCTTTTAACTCCGTTTGTTCTCCCACCTATTATTGGATTGCTCTTAACATGGTGAACTGGACTTGTTTAAATGTGACTTTGATCACAAAGCAAATTGAGAGGGGCACTGCATTAAGCCTTTTGTTTTTCTTTTGTATTTGTACTTACGTTGCTTCTCCTCCCCCTCCCCCCCCCAAAATGTGGGCATGGCATGTTATCACCATAAAGGACATTTGCAAAATGCATTGCCAGTAAGACAGCTTTAAGTCCTTGGTTGTAACACTTCTGTGATAAAGAGCATAATTTGTAGCATTTTAGCAATAATTATGAGTATTTATGGAATTGGATCTTTTTCCAATTTACTGAGCCAGTGCATTTAATTGTCTGGTATACACACAGTGTAAAGTAATAGAGTGCGTGTTTGAGCACGCACATTTTTGTGTGCAGACAAATCCTATGAAACATTCCCCAGAGCTTTGTTTGCCTTATGACATTACAGAAATTGTTTTGAAGGGCATCTTTTCCCTTGAACAAAGGCTTTTAATGCATGTTTCATTCTTTACATGTGAATCAGGAAGAGCTGCTTCCTGAGGAAGGTTGCATATTGCAAACTAGTCTGGTTATGAGCCATTCCGGTTGTGTTTTTATCATGTTTGTTGTTATCACTGATACCTAGCTTAATTTTGCTTATGATATTGATATATTTCTGTTTGTTCTATGAAGTTTGGTTGACGCCATCCATTACACTGTTAAAGTGAAGCTTAGCTGACTTGGCATGATGCTGATCAGCATGTGCAGTGTAATACAAAAACCAAAAAGGCTGGACAGACTTCAATGTATGTATGTGTGTGCACATATGTGTGTGAGAGAGACCTATGAAGAACTATGTAAGAGCAGTATGAATGTGTGTGTGCGTGTGTGTGCGCGTGCGCATTAGTGAAACCTTTATGATTTAAAGGAAACTGATGCTTCACCTTAATAAACAACTTAATTTCTTGTATAAGAAATCTGGGTTGATTTTGGAAAAAAAACCTTCAAATATTGTAGGAGGGCACTGACAGAACAGAGCAATGGTTCAAAATGCTTAATCTAGAATTGTCTGTCAACATGTTAAGAATACCATGTTTATTTAAGACTGTCTTGTTTTGTTTAAAAATAAATTTTGAATACAATCACATGGTTTGAAAAAATGCTTTTATTTTCATTTAATATCCTGTGAATGGTTCTGATATGGAGATCAGTGCTTTTCATCTTGTGACGTTATCATTCTCATTTCTATAAAAATGCATTTAATAATTACATCAAATATGATCTATCTTAAAGTTTATCTGTATATGTTTGTGCATGCATGTACACACACACACACACACACGGTGTCCCTAAAATATAGACAAACATTTATAGTTGGAGATGTGTCAATGTTATTTCCAATCATCGGAAATGTGTAAGCTACTTCTTTGTTTAATACTTTTTTATATTTCCAGTGTGTTAATGGCTCTGCATGACTTACAAAGATAACATGTCAATTAAAACAATATTAAAAGCATATTCGATATAAAGCATACAGGGTTAAACCAAAAGGCTTGGTTAAATAAATGTTTTAAGTTTTTAAAAAACTGCTAACGAGGATAGGGCTTACTTCAACCTGAGTGGCAGTTTATTCCATAATATAGACTCCACTATGGAACAAAACAAATGGTCAAATGTTATCTACAGCAGGACCAGAAAGAGGAACACCATTCATGAGTGTAGATACTGTATGACAGGGCAGAAGGACCTATTTTTGTGCCTAAGTCATGAATGGATTCATACAACATTGTAAACACTTCGAATTGGGCTTGGAAGACAAATGGGGCTTTTTCAACATAAAAATAATTTAGGGTCTTAAAGAGGTACATTCTGGACCACTTGTAATTCCTGATACATTTTTGAAAATGAATATATTGCAATTGTCCAGGTTATCAATGCATGAGTTATGGAAGATAAATATATCTTCTCTAAGTATGGACACACAGTTTGTTAGTTCGTGCTGATGAAAGATCTTCCTGGCCATGGATGTTATACATGGATATTCACATTTTAGTTCCTTAAGGCATGGAATTTTGCACTCCAGACTGCAGAACTTCAGTGCTGAAAAACTCTCTGATCGGATGCATCTCTTCATAGCATTTCACCTGCTCCACCTTCCTGTGCCACTACTAGTCCTGCATTTCTCACAGTTCCACCTGTTCTTTGGACTGTAGATGTTTAAACCTATCTTTCTTTGAGATATATGATGGCCAGTCTGCACATTCTTGCTCCAGAGGGCTATTGTAATGGTCTCATGGTTTCCATGAAACTATTCGTGGGGCATCTGGCTTTTCAAATTTAGTACACTTGATGCAGTCTGCGTGATGACATCTTTAAACTGTATCCACTTTTCAGAACAGACCTTACAAGTGGTAGATTGTCAGAGGGTTTTCCATTAAATGCAACTTGAAAACTTTAGACATGGCCTGCATCTTGCAGTCTGCTGATATTGAATGATGTTCTGACAGCCTTTGGTTCCCTATGGCATAATGGGACTATGTACACAGGTTGAAGACTGAACAGATCAGCCTGGGATATGTCCAGTACTCAGCACCATGCATGGGCTAAGTGACATCTTTAAGGACATGCTGACATACTGTGACATGGTCAAGTAGGTGGTGATACATGGACCTGGGATTGTTTTGCACTTGTTTGCAAATCTGAACATATGTTAGCAATGCACAGATTGTGCTCAGTACACTTGCTCAGAAGCAGCAACCATTGCTGTTTAGTTTTCCCATCCCATGCCTCCCAAGAACTCCATCCTAATTGTCAATGTCAGTCTCCATTCTAGCAATGAACTTAATCCAGATTAATGAGTTTGTTGTTGATGGTTTGAATAATGTGGTCAGGCCTTTGTAGAAATCTTCCTCGTCTTCATGTGGATCCATGAGACTTGGTGTATAGACCAATGAGACATTGGTTTTGTCCCATTTTACGACCTTTCTTACCAGAATTGTTAAATGAATCACTGCAGTTGATAAGTTAGTAACTCAGTTGCTAAGTGAATCTGGCTTGCCCATTGACTTTGCTTGTCAGAAGGTCACAGAAGGTGATCGCATGACCTTGGAACACAGCAACAGTCATAAGCATGAGCCAGATGCCAAGGATCTCAATTTTGATCACATGATTATGCAGATGCTTCAAAGGTCTTCATTCTGAAGAACGTTCGTAGGTCACTTTTTTCAGTGCCATTGTAACTTTGAATGGTCACAAAAGTATTTTAAGTCGAGAACTTTCCTGTATGTTTATTTTTTCCAGAGGGTAGAGTAGAAATGCTCTTCAGCTGAGGTTTTGATTGCAAAGCCTATTCTGTGAATTCTGTTGTCTCTCTTTGCTTTTGTTCTGACCCAGGTTTAACAGAATCATTAAACAGACTCCTTGTCCCGAAAAAAACAACAACCCCTTTTTATTTGTTTAATGTGAATTCCTGGCATTCACATCCAGAAATGTCCTGGCAATAAGACTTTCAATGTTTAATTGCAAAAACAGACCTTATCAGTCTTTGGATAGTTGCCAGGCCTAGAGCTTCCAGTCGCAACTCTACAATGAAATACCTGACAAGGAACAATGAAATACCTGACAAGGAGTCTCTTCGAGGCATGAACTCAGATAAGCAAATCTTCACAATAATAAGCAAACTAATTGTCTACTGCAAACACCACTCCCCTTTATTTCCTATATGAGGGGCCATTCAGCATCCACTTGTGCCTTTACTTCTGAGTCGACCCCCGTTCCTTAGTTGTTCCCTTCTCCTTACAGCTCTACACGTACACACATCTGGAGCAGGCTCCAGCTGTTCTTCCCCACTTATGTCTGACTCCAAAGGCAGCTGATAAATGTTGGTCAGCCCTGACCCCATCTCTGCCTCCTATACAGATTACTCATCAGAGCCTTCCCCAGACTCAAGGACTGGCCCAACCTCCCCACCCTCCTCACTGTCTGAGTCTGCCAGCTCTGCTGGCAGCTGGTGGGCCACAACAGCTTTCCCTTCTCAGAAGAATGTCTATCCACGTGCTGCTGCCTGTAGTAAACCCTAATTGGCAACCTTTGTGCAGTGATATCAATGCTATAACATTGAAATTCAGCTGCTCTGTTCATCTTTGGGGCTTGCACCTTGTCTCTATCCCCAATATGCAGTTGTTCCGCCCTCCAATGATAACTTCTTTTTCTTGACCTGAAACCGCTAAGGAAATGATATGCTATCTGTGGTTAGCTAACCAGATGTTGTAGGACAGTGATTATTTAGGATACCTTTTCTAATCCCTCCTTCAGGTGAAGGTGGACAGCTTTAAAAAGAGCTGTCTAGTCACCCTGGATCCTGCTGGACATCTCTGCTACCCAGTCTAGTGAGATGACCAACCACTTTGATCATAAATCCCTTGCAACTTGAAGGTGTTTATGACCCTCACAGTGTCCCACAGTCACATGATCACCATTTGCAGACTTCAAAACTGGCTTCCAACAGATTCCATGGAGAAGCCAGCATTAAAATGGCAAATTTCAGTCACAAGATATCTCAATTAATGACCAACCTTGATTTGCTTAATAACTGCAATGAAAATGATGGAAGTCCAGTGTAGCCATGAGATATTTTGCTTAATAACCGCCAAATGTTTGTCATGGCATGGATATTATCACGTTTCTAGCATAATCTCAGATGTGATGCTGTATCTTTCTATATCTAATAAATAACGATTAGAAATAATTATAATTTAATAATTATATTACATAATTATAATAAAAAAGTACAGTGAAGAATTATCTTTATTAAATACATCTGCTGGTTCCAACTCTTTCTCAATAGAGGTGGAGATAACATTCATGTATGGGTTAACACTGTCCGTTCTCTGATTGGACTGAGTCTGATTAATAATTAGTTAACCTTTATAACCTGCCCCTCTGAGTGACTCCACCCAGCTTTCAACTCAGTCCACTCTGGACAGTCGTGTTATCCAGTATCTCCTGTACTTGGAATTAGTTAAAATCGAATTAATCAGCATTGACTTTGAGACTGACAGTAAGTAGTTGTGGAAGAAGATATAGTGAGCTGGTGACAATAGAGCCAAAATATCTGACCCTTAGGGGTGTGGGAGCTATCTGAGAGAGGCTTGCTGAGCGTTACCATTTAGCCTCGAGCTGCAGGTGGAGGGGGATGCGCACTGACCTTTCTTACCAGCTCAGATTGATCCTTCCTCGAGCACTACGGTCCCTGGAGTGAAAGCCTCCACCTGCTTCTGGCAGCCGTTTTTCCGCAGCTTAGTCTGCGAGGTTGCAGGGCGCTCAGCCGGTGCTGCCTCCCGATGCCTTACAGCCTGACAACTTCAAAAGAGCCACAGAAGTGGCAGCGCCCCGGCAGAAAAACCTCAGGCAGCTAGAGAAGGCGCCAGTGGCCATTGGGAATGGCTTGAGCCTGAGAGCCCTCACAGGCAGCAGGAGAAGATGCATGGGCATTTTGGACTGTGTTAGGCCCCGGAGGGCCTCGCAACCAGCAAGAAAGGGCGCGAGTGGCCATTTTGAACTTGCCTGAGCGTGAAATTTGGCGCAGCCACCATTTTGACTGCACCAATTGGCCATAACACAGATGGCAGATAGCAATGTGGCAGACCATCTACCTGAGCTGGATAGGGGGACCCAAGGGGCAGGTCCTGGTTTGCTCTCCGTAGCTAGGGGACTCAATCCTTCTGCCTTGCCTTCCACTTTGCAGGGCAGCAGTACAGCCAAACCCCGCAATAAGGGCTCTAAGAGCTCTAAGTCTGCCAGCAAGAGCTCCAAATAAAAAAAGACCTCCAAGTCTGCTGGCAAGGAGACTACTCCCCAGACCAAGTCCAGCCTCCCTCGCCACTCTACTATCTCCAGGGAAGATCACACCTTCCTGGGCAGTGCCTGCTCGGGCCACAGCTCCCCACTACATTTGGAATCTGGGCCTGATCTATTTAGCCCGATGCTGCCCATTAACACAGCCAAGCTGTGGGGTCAAACTATAGAGACTCCAGGCCCCTAGGGAGCCACGCCAGCCTGGCAGGTGTGTGGAGGCCACCTTCACACCCACTGCAGCCAGTCTCTGTCCTGAGTACCCAATCCCTACCATACCTCCTGATTATCA